CAGAGACACACACACAAATACACACACACACAGACACACACACAGAGAGAGAGACACACACACACACACAGAGTGAAGTGAGTGTTGGTTATCAACAGATTCTGAATCTCTGAAGAACTAGAATCTTATTTACAGCAGTGGTCTTTTCTTGTTTTCTGAGTTTTCCAGCGTGAGTGTGATCAGGGTTAATGCAGCGGCACTGATTCACAGCTCTGCTCTCCGTTCATCATTCAGATACGAGACGCTTTTACCTGAGCTTTGTATCAGCGTCACGTAATGCTTCCCTCAACCCGCTGAGTGTGTTTAGATTTCATGCATTTGTGATGATGCTGAAGCTGCTGAATGAAAGCAAACAAATGAGAAGAACTGGAGTATTTCCGAATGAGCATCACAACACGCTGAGCTGATCTTTTCATCAGACCGTCCTGCTTCTGTTTGCTCTAGTCTAGTGATCTGCCTCATGGGAGCTGGATCCACACATACTAATGTGTTTTAGTGCCGGTCCTGATGGATGATGAAGTTTCCATCTGCAGTAGTTGTGTTGCACATGAATGACTAATTCTTTGAGTTCTCATTCGGGTCCTGATATGTTTATAGCTGTGTGTGTGTGTGTGTGTGTGTGTTTTCAGCTGCACGTCGCAGCGGCAAACGGTTTCGCACAGGTTGCAGAGATGCTGTTAGAGGGCGGAGCCAGAACAGAGATGAGGGATTCTGATGGGTGGACGCCGTTACATGCCGCTGCATGCTGGGGACAGGTACTCACACACACACACACACACACACACACATGCATGCACGCACGCACACAAACTCTCTCACACACACAGACACACACGCACACACAAACTCTCACACACACATGCACACAAAGTCTCTCTCACACACACACAAACACACACACACACACACAAACACGCACACACAAACTCTCACACACACGCACACAAACACACAATCACACACACGCACACAAACTCGCACACACACACACACACACACGCACACAAACTCTCACACACACACAAACTCACACACACACACACACACACGCACACAAACACACAATCACACACGCACACAAACTCTCACACACACACAAACACGCACACACAAACTCTCACACACACACAAACACGCACACACAAACTCACACACACACACACACACACAAACACACAATCACACACACGCACACAAACTCGCACACACAAGCTCACACACAAGCTCAAACACACACACACACACAAACAGTAATATTGTGAAATATTATTGCAATAAAAAATAATTTTAAGTTGGAATAATATTTCACAATATTAATGTTTTAATATTAATGTACTGTATTTTTTATTTAAAAATGCACACACACACAGCATTAGTGAGCAGAAGAGACTTCATTCAAACACAGTATTTTATGTACGTCGTGGCTGAGAACCATTAATTGGCTTATAAATATTATAATTATAAATTATTTAATATTTGATGCATTTAATAAAAAACTAAATTAAAACTGAAATCAGTAGTTATGTCGTAAGTGAAGTGAGGCATCACAACATCGTAATATTCTGTATGAACGATGGATATTAATTTTGAAATCTGCTACAGACAGAAGAAGTGTCTTTAACTTTAACTTTGCTCTTAAAGAGTTAAATGCTTACTGTAATCCATCAGGTTAATGCTACTGTACTGTGCATCACCGCAGCTTGAACGAGCAGTGCATTTATTACAGATGCTTTTATCCAAAGCCACTTACAAATGAGACTATAAAGAGATCATAAAAATGTAATAATTCATCAGTAATGAGCATCCACCGGCTATTAAAGTATTATATACATACAGTCATGCTTAATGTTTTTATATTTTCAGATTTCATTTTAATTTTAGATTAGAAATGTTATGTGCCTTTGCTTCATTTTTGTTTTTTTATCACTATTTAATTTTAAAATATTATTATTTACAGTTAGTAATTTTAGTGCTTCAACAGTTAGTTGCTAAGGCAGCATTTCTAATTTTTCATCTAATATTTATATTTTATTTAAGCTATATATCAATTAACAAGAATATATTTTAGTTACAATAATAATCTTGGCATCCACAGATAAATGTCAAAAGCCAGACTCAGTGTAAGTGATGTGGTGATGATAGACTCATCATAACTCATAATTCTCTACTAATAATGTTAATGAATGATAAAAACGAATGAACCTCCTCCCACAGGTGCATGTGGCCGAGCTTCTGGTTTCTCATGGTGCCGATCTAAACGCCAAGACGTACTTGGAGGAGACGCCTATAGGTACAAACCCATCACAGAAAGAGCCTGACGAGACTCTGTTCATGACAGACTGAGATCAGTGTAAGCATTGGTTTGAGTAGATCAAACACAGACTCAGGTCAGGAGAACGGCAGTGAAACACCCATCCGGCAGAATCAGACATGAGATCCGTTCCTCATACACAGCAGACTGGGCTGACAATATCCCATGATTCATAGCGCCCATTCCTTTTTTTTTTTTTTAATAGGACAAATTCATGAATAAATCTCAGTAAACAGGAGCATTAATCGTGTGTGTGTGTGTGTGTGTGTGTGTGTGTGTGTGTGTGTGTGTGTGTGTGTGTGTGTGTCTAGATCTGTGGGAGGGCGCACACACTCACACGCGCACACACTCACACTCACACTCACATGCACACACACTTGCACGCACGCACACGCACACACTCACACGCACGTACGCACACACTCACATGCGCACACACACACACACTCACACTCACACTCACACACTCACACACTCTCTCTCTCTCGCGCACACTCACACTCACACTCTCTCTCTCTCTCTCACTCACACACACACACACACACACACACACAGATGATGTTTTATTAACAAGGTTCGGGAGGAGCACGATCAGATAATCAACCTATTTGGCTCAGGTGGAACTCATTCAGTTAATCAGCTTAACTAGCAAAATACGTTTACCTCTGTCCCACGACAGTTTTCCCCTCTCCCCCCAACTCATCACTATTAAACTATTCTCATCCCATATTAGGGATGGGGGGAGTTCTCTGGGTTTGGACTATATTCCGAGCTCGGATCCCTCCCTCAGGACAGCACACCAAATATACGTCACAGGTGTAACTCGTTTAGCTAACCATCCTAACTAGCACAATACGTGTATATATATGCACAGCCTACCTGCCTCTGTCCTACAACAGTTTTCCGGCACCCCTATATAAATGCTGACACCTGCTGGCCGTTGATGAACACTGCACATGCTCATGTTTCCTCAGTTAACTGCTGACATTGAATAGACTCGTGTTGTTTTCATATACAGCTATAGTCATAAACACTATAGTCTAACACTGACAATAGCAGAACACTTGCTGTATTATACAGTAAGGTTTAGTTCACAAATTTGTCCTAAAAATATGGTTAAATGGGTATAAACACACACACACAGACACACACACATACTGACACCTGCTGGCCGCTCACACACTGCGCAGATACACACACACACACACACACACTATAACACAGACACACACACACTATAACACAGACACACACACACACTATAACACACACATACACAGAAACACATACATACACACACACACACACACACTCAGTCACTATTACACATATACACTCACTATAACACACACTCACACATGCACACACACTCACACACACACACTCACTATAACACGCACTCACACATACACATACATACACACACACACACACACACACACAACACTTCGCACTCACACACATACACACACACACACACACTCACTATAACACACACACGCCTCCTGCTGGAGCTTCACAAACACATGAACAAACAAAAACTGCTCCATTTCCATTGAATGAAATCATTAGGTTTATAAACCAGACTTGAACTGGTCTGGGTTCTTCTTCTGTGGTGGTGATTACGTCACACTCGTTGTTCTTTGGCTGCTTGTGCAGGAAAGTGGTGCGCAGGGCGAGTGTGTCCGACAGACACAATCTCTGCAGGAAGGAGTATCAGACCGAAGCCATCGTGTGGAGAGGAGGACGAGAGGAAGAGGAGCGAGAGCGGGAGTCTGATCAGGAACACAGCCTCTCGGTGAGTAAAACCCTCACTGCTCTCAGAAACCAAACGCAGAGCTCATTCACTGAGTCCACAGGATACTAGATCTCATTCACAGTAGACATGCACTTTAGTGTGCACTTTTAAAGGGGTCATATGATGCTTTTTTAAAGATCATTATTTTGTGTATTTGGTGTAACAGAATATGTTGACATGCTTTAATGTTCAAAAAACACATTATTTTTCAAATACTGTACATTATTGTAGGTCCTCTATGCCCCGCCTCTCTCAAACGCTTCGGTTTCTACAAAGTCCCTCCTTTGACAAGTGCAGTCTGCTCTGATTGGCCAGCTGACCCAATATTTATTATTATTATTATTAATTTTCAATTTAAAATATTACCTATATTAATCATATTTATTATTATTATACATTTTCAATTTAAAATATTACCAATATTAATTATATTTATTATTATTCATTTTCAATTTAAAATATTACCAATATTAATTATATTTATTATTATTATTATTAGCAACAGTAATTTTTTTTTGTAATTTCTTTCTCCTTTATTTATTTATTTGTTTTTACATTTGTCTTAAAACATGCAACATTAAAAGCTATTATTATAAATTACTATTAAATACTAGCATTTTAACAAAAGTAATTTTTATTAATATTTTTATTTGACTTTCGCACAACATATTATTTCGGCCCATTAAACCCCTGTATTCTTTCAATCACAGGTATTTTTAAACCCAGTCAACTGCAATTTTATATTATTGTCATAATTCTATTATTATCATTAATAGTAATAATAATATATATATATTTTTTTAAATATAAGCATATCAGCAACAACTCTTTTTTTCAGTTCTGTAACTTTTATATATAATATTAATAAACACAGTATTCTTCCACCAAACAATGTAGCTCCTCAGAAACAGTTGTGGTTGCTACAAAGTGGTTGCCGAGCAACACACAAACCTAAACAAAGGTGTGTGTTACTTTGTAGCGTCATTTACAACAGCTTCGACCGCGGCTCAGCCAATCAGAATCAAGCACCGGAACTCTCCGCTTTATAATAAAAGTTTCTGTCCTGTTACTGAAAGTCCAGATAAACACAACTTAGAAGATCCAAAAGGTCACGAATCCCTTTGAATCAAGCAGTTTAATCAGATTCACTCTAGATCTGGATGTTAGACAGGAGCTCCGTCTGTTTCTTCAGCGGCGATGCTTTGACTTCCTGTTTGCAGACGCAGCCCGACGACGCTCCTCGAGCAGCGGGGATCCTGAAGGAAGACGGCGGACAGAACGGCTGCATCTCCAGCACTCCAGCGCCGGCCGCTGACCCCGTGACCCTTGACCCCGCGCCCTCCGCCGAGGAGCCCAAGCACAAAGAGCATGCACAGACACTGTCCGAACTCAAGAAGCAGCGCGCCGCCGCCAAACTCCTCACCCATCCCGTCCTCAACGGCCACCTGGGAAACGGCTCGACCAGAGCCAGCCCCGAGGATCCGCGCATGCCGCTGGTCTCGTCCAATGGCAGCGCAGTTTACTTCACACCTGCCAGCGGAGACCCGCCCCTTCTGAGGTTCATGCAGCCAATAGAAGACGAGGATCCCAAGAGTGACAGCTGCTGCTGCATCTCATAGATCCGACGAGAGGATCTCGAGCGATCCGGTTATCACCCGCTTTTATTTCTCGATCCGAGCCTGGAAGTGTGACGACCCCTCTCTGAATCCTGTGCAGGAACGGGAACTTCTCAGAGGAGGAAGGAAATGACCTCATTCAGGCTTCCCAGGTTAAATGTGGGACTTATGCTTCTCTATTTCACTTCCAGCAGCAGACGATTCCTTCCAGCTGTGTAATGTGCGATTGTGCAGATCTTCAGCTTAGTGGTGTTATACAGACCGACAGACGTGTTCCTCTCCTGTACAGTATTTATTTGTATATGTGCATAGAGCCACTCTTCTATAAGATTATTTATTGTATTCCAGAGAGATGAAGTGACGGATGGAGCACAAACAAGTCAGTATTTTTCTATGACAGTGTTATAATGACCAGATGAAGTATTTGAACTCACATTTCACACTCAAATCACAAGAACGGCGTAGCCAGCCTCTGATATGTTGTGCATCTAGTGCGGTCAAATAAATTAATCGCGATTAATCGCATCCAAAATAAAAGTCTTTGTTACATAATATATGTGTGTGTATTGTGTATATTTATTATGTATATGTGACCCTGGAGCACAAAACCAGTCATAAGTGTCTGGATAAATAATCTTTCCATTGATGTATGGTTTGTTAGGATAGAACAATATCTGAAAATCTGGAATCTGAGGGTGCAAAAAAATCTAAATATTGAGAAAATCATCTTTAAAGTTGTTCAAATGAAGTTCTTAGCAATGCATATTACTAATCAAACATTAAGTTTTGATATATTTACGGTAGGACATTTACTAAATATCTTCATGGAACATGATCTTTACTTAATATCCTAATGATTTTTGGCATAAAAGAGAAATGTATAATTGTGACTCATACAATGTATTGTTGGCTATTGCTACAAATATCCCCCAGCGACTTAACACTGCTTTTGTGCTGCAGGGACACATATAAAAATACACATAAATGCTTGTATATATTTAAGAAAAATATGTTAAGTTTATATATTAAATATATTTATATATGATATAAATTATATTAATATAAATATATACATTTAAATACATGTAAATATGTACATGTATATATATGTGGTATGTGTGTTTATTTATATATACATAATAAATATACACAATACACACATATATTATGTAAACAAAGACTTTTATTTTGGATGCGATTAATCGCGATTAATCGTTTGACGGCACTATTTGTTATTTTCACGACAGACACATTTTACTCCAAAAGCTGCAGGAAAAATTACTAATTTAATTTAAATCAGCAGCACAATAAATACTAACATTATGCATAAATGCTAAATAATTTAAATAACGTATCAGTAATTTTACAGACATTTTTTAGTGTGCGTTTTTGTGAAACGCTTACTGTTATGAAAAAAGCCCCAAATCGGTTTTTAGGTTTTTTGATGTGAAATATGACCCAGATGTGTTTATATGAAGAAAGTGTTCATATCCTGCACACAGTGCTCCCTATGAAGGGTTTATTTATTTCATTTGGTGACGCTCTGCTCTCGGGTGCCAAAGTCTTCCAGAGTGATTGACGTCAGAAACAGCCAATGAGGTTCCAGAGCCACTCCCGTAGCCCCGCCCACTCCTCAGCACTCGCTGGGAAAGAATGTAAATAATGCTCGGAATGCGTTTCCTTCAAGTGATGGCGCAGAGACGCGAGCTGATGTTGGACGGTATTCTGTAGCCTGTGATTCTGAAATAGAAATATGAGTAGAGTTCACACGTGAGGAGTTCGGCTTCCATTTCTACTGAGGAACATGAAGGGAAAAGAGCATCACAACTACTGATTTTATAGTTACTAGAATACACTGATCACTGTATTAACATATTTTCAATAAATTGTATATTTTGGTCAGTTTCTGTCATCAGTGCTCGGTGAAGTCTGTCTGATCAGATCTCTGGGATTGTTCGTGAAATGTACCTCCGTGAAGTTGGCACCCCATAAAAAGAAGTAATCACCAAAACTATGCCATTCGTTTGTGCTGGTTTGGTGTTTGAGATATTAAACATTATTTTTTGGACCGTGTGACGTCACTCTCCACCCCATGCTGCCCAAATCTCTCCAAACCTGTTCATTTGTGCCCTTAAAACAAACACTGCATCAATTTTCCTTCCTTAGATATGTTTTCTCCACCCCAGTCTGATGACACCTTCGTTTGTGCTCGGTTTGTGCTGTTGAAAGAAACAATGTAACCATGACCTCTTGACCTCTTCTTAAGTATAATGTGAACTTTACTCTCCACTCCATATATTTAAAAAATAAAAATTAGTGTTCGTGCTGCCTTAAAATGTTAAGTTTAGTCAGGTCCAAGTTTTCACTAACTTCATATTTCAAGTTGACTACGCTTAAATTTCAAGGCAGCATTAAGTTGAAACGGTGAGACAGTGTTTTTTATTTATTTATTTTACTGCGAGACTTAATCGTTCTAATTCATTTGTGCCGTTAGAATATTAAACATATTCCCCCAGGAATAACAATTATATGCTAATTCAGGGAGCTCTCCATCCATGCCACCGGTTTTTCTCAGTTTTATTGACTTCACCGACTCACACAGGAACAGGCTATTGCAACTTAATATCACATATTCGTGTTCTTGTTTGTTGCTATTTGTATTCATTTGTTACAAAAATGCAACATAGGACTAAATTACTTTTTAAATTTTTTTCACACGTTCAGTCTAGCTTAAGGCTATTTTATCTTTGAGCACTTTTTCTACAGTCCATTATGGCCTTTTTGTTTCCTTATGCTGGGTACACACTAAAAGATTTTTAAAATGTGCGAGACCACAAACATGAGGACAAAAAATCCTAGATTTAACCGTTTGGCTCCTATAGTGTGTGGTGTCCTCGGGGTTCCCCCCACACATCAGGATTTCTGATCGCGATCGGGGTGCCTCCGACGTTCTTCCGAGCAGATTCAGTCCCTCTTAACACACCTCACACGGACAAAAAATCCTAGATTTAACCGTTTGGCTCCTATAGTGTGTGATGTGGCACGATGCTCCCCCCACACACATCAGGATTTCTGCTCGGGGCGCCTCCGACGTGCTTCCGAGCACCTTCAGTCCCTCTTAACACACCTCACACCACAGGAACATCTGATAAGATCATGTTACAACCACCAAGATAATCGGGACATTAGCTAGGATTGTCGGAAGGGGAGAAATCGGCCCAAAATCAGCCCGATTATCTTGTGGTGTGTGTGTACCCAGCATTATGCAGTGCCATAAATAATCGTTTGTAAGGGGGACAGAAAAACTTTAACATAATAATATTAGCTGTTAAATGCAGTAATACCATGCAATTAGAGTTACATATCCTATAGATAATGGCTTATTAAGTGCTTCTGTTTTGTGTGCCAGCTTCACGGAGCTGGCTGATGTTTAAGGAAGTGGTTATGGAGTCATCAGTGTGTTTATAATCCGCTGGCTAACAGCCAACCACAATGAGTCAGCTCTTAACCACCAATGAGGAAGAAAGCGTAGACACACGTGCTCACTGTAAATATTGATTCAGTCCGTCTTCATCTGCTGGAGCCGGAGATCCTGGATTTAAATTCTACATTTATTTTAGATTTAATTTAAATTTTAAATTTATAATAAAGTGCTAAAAAATGACATGACCTGTCACTTTCAGAATAAAACAAAATTGCATTGCATAAATTATATATATGATAATATTCTGGTTTATTCTCTGTGTTTCTGGGAATGTAGGCGACTGCAGGTCAATCACAGGCTCAAACTCTCAGTAAAGGTCAGAAGGAGGAGCAAAATAACACTGGTTTCTTTTTGGTTTTAATGAACTGCTTGCCTTGTAGATTCAATAGCAAAGGAAAACAACTCTCAGTAGAAAACATTAGCTACTAAACAGATCAACAAAGGCACAACGGGAGTGAATGGCACGAGGAGGAGGAGAATGTCACACACTTACACACACACTCTCTTTCTCTCACACACACACACACACTCTCTCTCACACACTCACTCACACACACACTCTCTCTCACACACTCACTCACACACACACTCTCTCTCACACACTCACTCACACACACACTCTCTCTCACACACTCACTCACACACACACTCTCTCTCACACACTCACTCACACACACACTCTCTCTCACACACTCACTCACACACACACTCTCTCTCACACACTCACTCACACACACACTCTCTCTCACACACTCACTCACACACACACTCTCTCTCACACACTCACTCACACACACACTCTCTCTCACACACTCACTCACACACACACTCTCTCTCACACACTCACTCACACACACACTCTCTCTCACACACTCACTCACACACACACTCTCTCTCACACACTCACTCACACACACACTCTCTCTCACACACTCACTCACACACACACTCTCTCACACACACTCACTCTCACACACACACACACACACACTCTCTCTCTCTCTCACACACACACTCTCTCTCTCTCACACACACACAGACACACTCTCTCTCTTCACTGTGTGATTCTCTGGGGTTTTTGCTCTCAGACAGTGAATATACTGCAGCGTCTGGCCTTTATAAAGCTCCTCTATCTCATGAAACAGCTCTGAGTCCAGGGTGTGACTCCATCCGGCTGCTGCATCGTGATTCTTGTCTTCTGTTGAACCTCGATGGAGGAATAATCTTCTGAACTCCACCCGAGCAGACGAGTCCCTCACAATGTTCAAGAAACTCCTAAAACATTCAAATACATTCATGCATCGAGCCTGAGCTCTTGTTTAGTCTGTGGATAAAAGCTTCTGCTAGATCCATGTAAACAGCTTATACTTCACAATCTTCACGTACTAATATATAGAATACATAAATGATGCTTCAACATGAATGTTTGATGGTGTTTTGAATAAACCAAATCAAACAGAATGTGAAGTGGCAGATTCGTGTTGAAGTATTAGTTGAAATGTCAAGAGATGTGCAAACCGTATTTAAACGAGGGAGGAAAGTTTCACCACATCCTGAGGACGCTGAATTACAACCAACTCTGACGCATGTGACAGTTTTAAAGCTCGTGTACATCACGGAGACGTCTGCATTACATCTGCAAGACGTGTTTTTTAGAGTGTTTGCTCATCTGCAATACGTCTATTCCTATCAGATGCCAAATAGACGTTTAGAAGATGTCTTTAAGATGTGTATGATTTGCATTGTATGTAAAAATGACCCCAGATAGCACGTCTGTAAGAGGTCTGTTAAAGATCGTGAAAGCATCTGCTGTGTACAAACATCTGATAGACGTCTTGAAGATGTCAGTTTTGCATCTGAAAGACGTCTTCTAAACGTCTATTTGACATCTGATAGGAAACGTCCTATAAAAAACACGTCTTGCAGATGTAAATGCGACGTCGCATAGACGTCTGGGTGATGTACGAGTGCTATTAGGGTCAATAACCCAGATAGCACAGGTACGTCTGCAAGATGTCTGGTAAAGATCGTGAAAGCATCTGCTGTGTACAAACATGTGTACGTTTTACATACAATGCAAATCATAAACAGCTTAAAGACATCTTCTAAACGTCTATTTGGCATCTGATAGGAAACGTCCTATAAAAAACACGTCTTGCAGATGTAAATGCGTGATGTACGTGTGCAGATGCTTTCACGATCTTTAACAGACATATCTTGCAGACTTACGTGTACTCTTGATGTTGGCACTGAACTCATATCAACCTCACGCGTGTTATATTTCATTCCCGGGCAGTTTGCCTGATGCACGATTAACATGTCAAGACAGGGATTGTTTTACAGCCGGATCTCAGGAGCAAAGGACAGTTAAGAGAAGCTCATATTACCGGAGAGCTCTTTTAGTGGGACGTTAAACAGCACTCAGAGTGACTTGCAGCACCTGCTGATGCTTTCAGCTCATGCAACTCTTCTGAGAATCTTTTAGAGTTTGGACAGTGAGCGTGTGGAACGGAGGGAGGCGGGTCTTCACTGATCGCCGTCACACGCTCGCGCTCGTATCATATTTAGCGTTATTTTCTTCGTGCATGTCGGAGCTATGTTTCACTGTCGGAGGAACGTTTCTGGAGCGGCTTTATTACCGCAGCGCCTGCACGACGTTCTTCACGCGAGCCGCGCATTGCGTAACCACCGCGCGATGTGCTGCTCTCGCGTTTACCGGAGATTCACGGCGATGCACGCTGTTTTATCCCGTTCCCGTCCACACGAGTTTGCGTTGAGCGCGGATCGAAGCGTCCTCAGACTCGGTGAACTCGAGTCGTTTCTGTCCGCTCGTTCTTCAGCTGCTGTCGCGATCCAAACGAGACGATCATCCGCGACTCCCGGGAAGACGCAAGAAGAACGCGCCGCGAACACGCAAACGGTACGTCCACTATACTGGAGTTGTGATCGAACGATGCTGTTTCGTGTTGTTTATGAGTGTTTGGAGGACCGTGCTGCGCGCGCGGAGCGTCTGAAGCAGAGAACGTGCTGCAGGAGTTCATGTGACGTCATCGGGTTTGATGTTTGTTACATTGTTGTCTTTTCACTTCCTCTGTCCGCGTGCAGCAACTTACTTACAAACTCTGTACTGCGGCTCACTGAGGCTGCCGTGTCTACATGCATTGCTATATTTATAAATAAAATGCATTATTAGTATTATATTAGTTTACTATGGTGTAGAACCGAATAGCGTGGTATTATGGGCTGCTGTGGTGTTTATCAGGGTTCTCATGGACTGGTTCGTCTAGTTCGACTTCAACAGCTGATCTAGTAGTTAGTCATCTTTCACTTTCACTGCTGTCAAACCAGAAGACAGATCATTCCTGCTGACCCTGCGCTCCTGTGAGTGTGAATAACGCTAGTCTTTGGTGCTCAGGTCAGCAGGAGCAGGTTTTGCTGGTCAAGGGTCACACACGACCTTCACATCAGCGTCATCTGCTTTCCTTCCTTTGACTTTACTTTATCAATTCTATTTGATTTTATAAATCCATTTTTATATAGATTTCTATCTGGCGACCAAGACAGGGTTGCAAACTTCATATAAAAGAGTCTGAGTCTGACTTTAGATTGATTTGCTGAGGCTGTCACTTTTTTATTGCTAAACATATAATACACACATAATCAGGGAAAATATGACTATCTCTAACAATATTAACATCAACAAAACAAACATGTGTTTACGTACACAGACAGAAAAAAGCTAAATAATAAGCCTAACATTTGTCTTTTAACATGTCCTCATAAAGCATCAGAAATGTGCTTGTGTTGTTGTTTATAAGCCTGAGGGATGAAATTAGAGTTCAATCCAGCAAGGGAAAATAGAACTTTGCGTACAAAATAAATAAATTAATAACATATTCAAAAGAAACATGTTTTGGGTTTTCATAATAACAAAAAACGCCTTTGGTGATGAAATTGTGAAACACATTTATAGTGCCTAAAATATCAAAACTTAAATCAACCCAAAGTCTGTTAGTAATAATGTTACAATCACGTCATCGTCGAGAAACAAACCTTCCTGAACGAGTTTCCAGCTCTTTCTTCAGTTGTAAAGTACTCTATTGGCCTGATTGTGTTTACATATAATACTGACATTATTATACACATACGATATTACAAAAACAAACATGTCTATGGAAAATAGTGATTTATGACATTGTATCAGGTTTTTTGTAAAGTAAAAATTATACTTTTTTTTAAAATAAAAAGATCAAATTATAACTTTTGGGGTAAGGGGGGTCACCCAGATGTTTTTAAAATAACGTGTGATTATTGCTTAATTTAATACTCATTGTAATTGCCTAGTTTATTATTCAGTATTTCTATGAATTAAATGAACATTTCAGACATCTTTGCTTTCGTTAAAACCTGAAATCATTCAATGTGCACTCATAGTGATGTTATTATGACACATCTTCAATTAAAATATGTAAAAGTCATATACAAAGCCATACAATAAATGCTCCTTTCAGATGAATCTCGTTTTACTGGGATTCTGCTTTGTTTGTCATCAGTTATTCAGTCAAAGTGTCAAAAAACTTTTATAATATGTATTTAATTGAGTATTTTACATGTAAGGTTAGGGACAGCTGTAACGTCTCTCTCTTCTGTGTGTGTGTAGATTGTGATGTTGTGCGTCTCAAACACTTATCTCACACAACACACCATTGTGTCTGTTTGAACGCTGACACACACACATACAGACACTGACACACACACACACACACACACACACACATACACACACACACTCACAGACACTGACACACACACTCACATACACTGACACACACACACACACCATTGTGTCTATTTGAACGCTGACACACACACACACACACACTCACTCACAGACACTGACACACACACTCACATACACTGACACACACACACACACCATTGTGTCTATTTGAACGCTGACACACACACACACACACACTCACTCACAGACACTGACACACACACTCACATACACTGACACACACACACACACCATTGTGTCTATTTGAACGCTGACACACACACACACACACACTCACATACACTGACACACACACACACACCATTGTGTCTGTTTGAACGCTGGCACACACACACACACACACACTCTCAGACACTGACACACACACACACACACACACCATTGTGTCTGTTTGAACGCTGGCACACACACACACACACACACACACACACTGGCGTCTCTATGGCAATGAAAGCCTGTGTTTGTGTTGTTGGAGGTTGAATGAGGTCATGTTTGTGGCTCGTAGGTTAACAGAATCCGTGCTGTCACACGAGCGCCAGCACAAACACACTGATTTGTCATGTAAACAGACAGTTTTCATCCGTTCCTCCAGTGTTTGGATTCTTCTGAACCTGAGTGTTCACTAAAGCACAGACAGTCGAATCTACTTCTACGGGACGATTAGACCGTTTATTTCTGAATCCTCACTCACGCCGTTCACAGCACGACTGCAGTCATTGGCTCCTGAGGCAGTCACTCGAGCGATTCTGCGTTCTGATTGGTTGTGGTCTGTTAAGCCCCTCCCACTGAGGCCTTTTCAGGACGTCCTGGACTGGTCTCTCTCTCAGAGTCTGTGTGATGCTGAGGCTCGTGAATCTTTCGTCTGATGGCTGATGTTTCCCGTCTGCGTGCCTCCGCAGGATCCGGTGTCATCTGTGTCCGGCGCTGAAGGTCAGAGGTCAGATGAGAAGCCCAGTAAGACGCAGCAGCTCAGGAAGGTGTTTAAGGAGTACGGCGCGGTCGGCGTCTCCTTCCACATCGGAATCTCGCTCATTTCTCTGGGAATGTTCTACCTCGTCGTATCCAGGTCAGATTCATTTGTTTAACCAAACATTCAAATGTATATAATCAAATATGTATTTATGCAAATATCATTTGCATTTTCAACAGAATGTACTCCGCTTGTTCCGTTGTTTTATTTTTTTCTAAAAGCTATATAACTCTTTTCTTGAAAAATCAATTACAAAAATAAAGTAAAAAAAAAAAAAAACTTTTTATAAAACTTTCGTTATTGTGTACTTACTTTTATACCTTTTTAGTTTTTATTAATATTTTTCTGTTTTCATTTTAATTTGAAAATCAATTTCAATATAAAATTGAATAAAATAACTAAATATATGTTAGAAAATAATATATGTGTTATCATTTTTTATTTAATATATTTTTTATATATATTTATTTCAGTTTTGATTTCAGTTATTTTAGGATATCAAGTTAAACTAAATTAAAATAAAAAAATGTTGGCAACCATCTGAATATATATATATTTTTATATATATATTTTTTTATAAATTTTTTTATTTGAGCTAACGTTTATTTCAAGTAACAGATGGTTTTGTTATGGTTTTAGTTTATTTAATAACCTTGTATTGAGCATTGGGGGCATCTTGCTCTTTTCTGTCATGTTTATAAAAGCTACACACCGCTTATGGGGGGATAATTACTGATCGATGATAGATATGATCGATATCGGCTAATTCTGCCAATGTTTGGTCACACTGTAAAAATGTAAAGATTATTGGAGTACATTTTACAAGAAGATACTATTAAACTATAATAATAATAAATAATTATAATAAAAATAATATATTATAAATGATTATATTATTATAAAATAATAATAATAATATTATTAATTAATTAATTAAATTATTACAATACCATTTAAGTTTGTCTACTTCCAGATTTCATGTTTAATTAATATCTTTATATAATAGATCGATAGATCACTGTTTGATATTTTATAACACACTGATGTTTATTTATTGCACACTTGTGTCAATTTGTGTCAGTGCAGGTTTTACCGTAATCAGCACTTTTATTAATGGTAGTTTTAAGTAAAACTAATTTATTAGTAGTTTTACATTTTTTTTAGTTTTTGTATATATTTCATATAGGCTATTTTATATATAAATATATATAAAAAAAAATTTTCAGTGTTTATTTTCATATTTAGTGTTTTATATTTGCTATCACGTGTTACACTGGTCACCAGCGCTGGGGAAAGTTACTTTTAAAAGTAATGCATTACAATGTTGCGTTACTCCATAAAAAAGTAACTAATTACGTTACTTAGTTACTTTTTTATGGAAAGTAATGCGTTACGTTACTTTTACATTACTTTTAAAATCTGGACAGGGCTTGCTTGTTTGTTTTTAAAATTAAAAAGTTATATTTTTGTCAAATATAAAAGCCTTTCACAGCAAAAGTGAAATGAATGCGCCTCAGGCTGAAGGGAAAGTACAGTAGAACGCAGAAGAAGACATTTCAACACTTCAGCAATAAACAAACACACACAGATGTTCGTCTAGAGTAATGTGTGATTATTAGTACGCTTGAACTGCATCATCGAAGCTCAGAAGCTAATAGAATGGGATTAAATACATAAAGCATATTTGTGTTGTTTAACATTTAATTATTGCAGGTCTGCGTCATATTCTGAGTTGCGTTATTTGTATTCATTTTGAGGAATACTGAATCTGTGTGTTGTGTGTGAGTGAGATGAATTAATACATCATCTAACATCTGATTTCTGTCACCATGGCGACACCAGAGCTGTCAATCAATAAATTGAAAAAAAAAAAAAGTAACTTGCGTTACTTATTTGGAAAAAGTAACTCGGATATTCTCTTGTAAATTAAAAAGTAATGTGTTACTTTACTAGTTACTTGAAAAAAGTAATCTGATTACGTAACTCGCGTTACTTGTAATGCGTTACTGCTGGTCATGCTGTGGTAAAATCACTAATGCACTTTCTGTTGTGTTACATTCATTCATTTAGCAGATGCTTTCATCTGAAGTGATTTACAAATGTGCAGTGCATGCGACTCATCTTCGAAGCCTGTGTGTGTGTGTGTGTGTTTTCAGCGGGTTTGACATGGCAGCGCTGCTGTGTAAGCTGGGCTTCAGTGAGTCGGTGGTTCAGTCGCGGATGGCTGCCGGCACCAGCACATTTGTGTTAGCGTACGCTGTGCACAAGCTCTTCGCTCCGCTGCGGATCAGCATCACGCTGGTGTCCGTGCCGCTGATCGTCAGACACCTCCGGAGGACGGGACTCTTCAGAACCGGATCGTCCGGCCCGTGAGGAACACACTCATAAGCTTCTCTAGAGCGCTTCATTCATAGCTGCCCAAACACGACACTAACGTCCTGCAGCGCTTCTCTGGAGCGGACAGTACCTCAAACGTTCTCTGATCAGGACTTTCATGACCGTTCTTTAGTTTTCAGCTCTGCAGTCCTTATGAAGTCTGCTGGCATTTATTCATTTTAGCAGCTGTGATTTTTGTGGATGAAAGAGTTAATGAAGGACTAATGTGTTGGTGTTTTATTCTAAGAAAGTTGAATTAAGTTTTTTTTAATCATCTATCAGACTGGATTTTTGAATTTTGACTCTTAGTTATATTGAAAATCTCATTGTGTAATATTATTGGAAATCTTAATATTGTAAAGACAATGTTATATTTGGCTGTTTAATTTTATAATAAAATATACGCCCTCTAAGGTCTGTTTTTTGTAGGTGTTTATGATGATTCTGATTCTCAAAATAACAGTATACACCACAATTTATGCGATTCTAATGATCATGTAATTTCATTTTATATCAAGACTTTTCCCGTTTTAACAGCAAATAAACTCAACATGCTGTAGATGCTTTTTTCAGGAAACATTTCCCATAAAAGAAGAAAAAAAGTGAAACGAGATTTAACTTTTATTACACATTTTGCACGTTTCAAACTTAAGACGGGGAACAAATCAAGTTCACAGGGCACTCTTATTCCTACAAAATAAATAAAAAATACTCAAATAAAATCTGTATTTAATAATAATAACGATAATATTAAAGAGCAAGGTTTGAAATGTCACTTTAACAAAGATGCAAATCAGGGCAGGATTAAAATAGTAACTATTTTGCCAATTTTTATTTACTCGTAAGATTTGAAATTGCTCTTGGAAAAGCTTTTTTCGCAGAGCTTTTTTTTTCTTTTTCTTGTAACACATTTAATCTGAAAAACGCAGTCTGAATTGACATTACTGATTTATACGAACCATATTTTCACATAATTTCATACATTTGTGCATTAAGAACTTCCTTGAGATGTTCTTTGGGAAATAAAGCAGAGCAGAAAAGAATCCAGAACGTGTTTGTGTAGCAGTATCCGCATTTATTCTGGATTCTGGGTTCTAGAAATGCTTCACATTGTGTAAAAACAAACTGCAACCAACAGTCTGTGCATGTTCTCAAGCTCTCAGTATAGCAGCAGCGCTCTCTAGTGCTCAGAAATGAGATGAAATGTCACACAAAACTCATGTACAATATACTGTACGAGAAAAAATATAAGTGTGATCTAAATTTTAAAGGGACAGTTCACCCAAAACGAAAACCTGTAACTTAAAAAAAAAAAAAATTTCTATTAAAAAAAACAAAACAAAAAAAAATTGCATTGAAAAAACGGTTCCTATATGTCTAAAAAAAAAAAGTTATACAGATTTAACCCTTTAATGACTCGCTGCACCGTCAGTCGCCAGCAGGTGTCAGTGTTTGATAATTATTCTGTTCCGATCACAATATTAATATTCCTCTACATGTGATTAATCAACGAGTGTGTTTATCACAGAAAGAGACACTTCATATTTGTCAAAGAACACTAAACATTATATATCATAGTTACTACTACTGATTTAATGACTAAATCAGTAGTTAAATTATGCTTATATTTATATTTGCAGTATTAATCTAGCATTTCAGATGATTATTTGCACTCTATATATACAGTATATATGACATTCAAATTCATTAAAATAATGATAACATTCTAATCTTTGTATTCTAACCTTACAAGTGCAGTGTGTATACTAGCGTGGATGTATTTCAGAAAATGTCCATTATGGAGTGTGTTTAATATAGAGTTTACAGAGACACTGTGAAGCATCTGTGTGTGTGTGTGTGTGTGAGTGTGAGTCTGTGTGTGTGTGTGTGTGTGTGTGAGTCTGTGAGTGTGTGTGTGTGTGTGTGTGAGTCTGTGAGTCTGTGTGAGAGTGTGTGAGTGTGAGTCTGTGAGTGTGTGTGCGTGTGTGTGTGTGTGAGAGAGTGTGTGTGTGTGAGAGAGTGTGTGTGTGTGAGTGTGTGACTGATTTAATGACTAAATCAGTAGTTAAATTATGCTTATATTTATATTTGCAGTATTAATCTAGCATTTCAGATGATTATTTGCACTCTATATATACAGTATATATGACATTCAAATTCATTAAAATAATGATAACATTCTAATCTTTGTATTCTAACCTTACAAGTGCAGTGTGTATACTAGTATACTTGTGTTTCAGAAAATGTCCATTATGGAGTGTTTAATATAGAGTTTACAGAGACACTGTGAAGCATCTGTGTGTGTGTGTGTGTGAGTGTGAGTCTGTGTGTGTGTGTGTGT